TATAAAAAATAGATATATAATTTAATTTTTATTTTTTATTCTTACTTTCTTTTTCTATTCTCTTCTTTTAATTATTTCAGTAATAACATAAATATATTTTTTTAAATATACTATTATCTGATCTTTTTTATTAGAAAAATAGCATTTATATCTATTTATTTCATCTAATATTTTTACACAAGATTTATAATATACTTTAATATTAAATTTGTTAATTTTTTCATCAGTTTTGATAATATAATTATCTAAAATAGATGATAAAGATGATTTAGTAGATTTAAAAAATTTGATAATATGGAAGTTGAATATTGGACATTGGATATTGGACAAATGTTCATGTCTAACTATTATTTAATTGCAATATTCATATGATGATTGTATTATTAAACAATCATTTGAATAGTGAATATTGGACATTGAACAAAATTGTTCCAATAATATTGCTTGAACACTGTTCATGTATATCACTATATATAGCTATCCTGTATTTTTTATTGTGGAGCAGCCTCTATCCTGTATTTTTATCATATATTTATAAATAAAGATTTTCGATTAGAGGAATGTATAATATATCATGTGTTATTTTTTCGTGTATATTTCTGATCGTGACTAAAAATAAGGAAAATGGTCGTAAAGATCATATGATAATTTTTATGACTAATAATACGATATGTATACTGTAGAAGCACATGATAATTTCAGAAAAACTGGACACGCGTGTCCGGGCGCAGTAATGATTTTCGACGACGGGCCGTCGCTAAAATTCTGGTCATGTGATTTATGGGGGGAACCTTCTAGTAATAACATCTTTATTATATGCATTATTACATTTATTACAGACACAATTGCATTTATGTATTTTATTCTTTCAACATGTTTTCTGATGTTTTGTTGTTTGAGTAAATACAAGGTTATCGTCAAAATTATATTGGTTGTTAATCACAAGCCGTCGTCTTTTTTTTGCATGGTTCCGCTCAATGTCGATCAAAACACTTGAAGCTTCAATAACTTTTTTTTGCAAAGTTTTGAGAATTACATATACTTCTTCAAATGAATAAAATGTTTCTAAATTGTTTGGTATTAAACATTTGTCAACTAACCCAAAAAGATAAACCCCTCCACTGCACCATATCATTGCATAAACGTTTAAATGAAATCCTGAAAGTTTAAATTATAATTAATTTACAAGCACGATTAAATTAATACTTCAATAAAAAAATGTTACAAACCAATAACTTGAATTCCGTAAACAATAAAATTCAAAAGTTCATCATTTGACTGGTTGTAGGCCTTGATAACCTGATTTAGTTCGTCTCTCAACATAATCATAAGCTTCAGTTTATCAAGCCATTGTTTGCGCCTGCAAGCTTCAGCCTTTCCATTTCTGATACCGCCAGACATTTCACCATGTACAGCCTGTAACTTGTAATTTGGGGTTTTTAAAGTTATTTTGAAATCAACCTTATAACCAATTTTTGCTTTTCTCTCAGGACTAATATTATCATTTTTTGCATTAGAGCTTGAAGACGAAGCCATTTCCCCCCTAAAACATAGTGGAATTATTTAGAAAAGTCGTTATAAATTTGTACAATACAAAGTTATTTATGCTTACCAATCCATCAGTAATATGTTATCGTCACGTAGAATAGTATTAATTATCGGGTAATATAATGCATGTACTGCATGTTGCTCAGACAATGAATTTTGGCTGGGGTAGCTTGTTCGCCTATAATGAATGTAAAAAATGTTATTAATGATTGAATTGATATTACAAAACAAAAAACTGACTTACAAAAATTGAACTGCCGTATGAAAGCTTTTTAGCTTATCCTCTGGATTAGGAGGCAACTTAAAATTATCGTCAAAGTATTTAACGAAATTCTCAGGTGTCTGAATTGATTGCCATTGAACAATTGTTCCAAATAAATTTCGAAGTTCTTTCCAATCATCAACAGCAAATGACGCCTTGGTCCTAATATGTTGGCCAGTTAAGTCGATGATTCCATAATAGGCCGGATTTAAGATCTTGCGTTTCGACGGGATCTTTAAACGTATGTTGCGAAAGTGTGCAAACACATCTAACTGGCTTGATAACATAAGTTTACTACCCTATTACAAAAAATAAACAATCTTAATTTTCTCTACAAACAAATTCACAACAAATTTCTAAATAACTTACCTTTAGAAGTTGTTTCTGAACACTTGGTATCACCATCTCCTCCCTGTCAAGGTTTTCTTCTGTGATAGTTGAAATGAGATCTTCTTGAGAAGATTCAAACAAAGATGCAATTGCTTCTAGAACATCATCGCTATCAGTTGTTATAGGAGAATTCACTATCGATGGCTCTCTGTTGTCTTCAATATTTTCTATGTCGTCATCATCATAATCATCATCGTTTCCAATATCATTTATAGAACTAATTGTTGACGTTGTTGGTAATGTGCCCTGTAGTAAAGATTTTCAGAAATCTCATTTTGAGTACGATTAAATTCAAATTTTAAATAATGTGACTAACCTGGTTTTTTACACGGGTATTAAACCTAGTTTGCACAGCTACATTCGTGTCTTGGATTGAACGGTTTACTTTAATCTATGAATAAAATTATTAGTATTATTAGTCTATAGATTAAAGTGAATGAGTCCGATTATACGTACCACCTTCCTCTCTTCCAGCCATAACTCCCAATCTTTTTGAATTTCGGTCTATTAACAGGAATAATAGATTAGAAATTTATTGAATCAATATATTAGAAATCACATATGTGCTACATACACTATACATTATTTGCATTCTCAATAGTCTTTCTTTAATATCCTCATCTTCACATTTCGCCAAGGCTGTTTCTAGAACTTTGTCATAAGAATCGAAAGCTCGACTTCGATGCGTAGAAAAGTTAAATCTGAAAAAAGCAATCGGACTTGGATCGGGTGAACTAAGAATCCACCTTACGTTCTGTTCTTTCTTGATTGAGGTTATTTTTTTCATTATGCGGGCTGAAAGTTTTCACGCGTATTTTGTAGAAGTACAGTACTGGACAAAAGTCATGGCGATTTTGTTTTTTATTGATAGCATCTTGATATCGCGTTTTAGGCGTTTGTTTACTAACACCAAATTAAGCAGGACAACAGTAATCTAAAATATAAAAATATAAACAATAAAACGCAAATGTACAAACTGTCTATACGCTCACTTTAATTTTCAAATGGCACCTACACCTATTAAAACAAACCGTGAACTTGTTAAGTCTTTTTAGAAACAAAACGTTTGTAATGCAAAAGAAATTTCAAAAAAACTGGGATTCCTTTACGTTCTTGTGAGCGTTATGTTTCCATACTTCGAAAAAATGGTCAGTTGCCCAAAATTCATCAATCTGGCCGACCACAAAAATTATCTCCTGAACAACGTCGCCAAATTGGAAAGATTATTAAACATAACCACTTCACGACGTCTAATGAATTGAAGACTATGCTGGAAACTAAAGACCCAGGGTTAGACGTTAGTGAGCGCACTATTCCCCGAAGCCTTAATAAGCTTGGTTTTACTTCGCAAAGTGCCTATTTTAACGCAGCAAGCGAAAGTCAACCGTCCTAACCTAGGCACGTGATCACTCGCATTACAATTGGAATAATGTTTTGCAATACAACCCATGCATGATCACGCGAAAAAAACCTGTTCAACCTATGGTGAAGCATAGAAGTTATTATCATTACACAATTTTTTATATGGTGCCGGAACTCTATACTTAATAATTACGTGATTTTGTTTCAATTTTCAAAAATTTTGACCTAAAATTTAGATTAGATGAAAAAGTCGATTTATGATACTTTGCGGGAAAATCACGTGACTTTATATTTAATTATTATTATGCCAATCAATAAAATTTAAATATGTAATAATATAAAAAATAGATATATAATTTAATTTTTATTTTTTATTCTTACTTTCTTTTTCTATTCTCTTCTTTTAATTATTTTAGATAAGTAATAATATGATTTAAATTTATTGATAATTTACTTGATAGTTCTACTCTCTAATTCTTTATTATATATATTTATGTATCTTCATGACTTATACATAAATTTACAAATAGTTATTATTGAAATTATGAAGAGAGCTTCTGGAACTTATTTTAATAAGTCTGTATAATTATAGTTATATAATCTTCTGATTTCTCACTTCATAAATCTTAATATTATTCTATAAAGTTACACTCATAATGAAACTTTGAATATTATTTGAAAATATATTCTACTTTAATAATTATCTTCTTTAATATTGAACATTATTCATAAAAATCAGACTATTATGACATTATTTATTATATATAACAGTCTATTCTTTCAGAATCATCATTATATTTTTTAGAATATTATTCACATATCAAATAAACTCCTTGCTCTGGTCAAAGATTGCATTCTTTAAGTATTTGCTTTATGTTTTTTGATTAGTTTTTTAATCTTATTATTAGATAATTATCTGAGAATATTATTAATTATATATAACTCTCTTTATATTTATTAACATACTAATTATTATGTATCTTAGACTATATATTATTAGAATTCAAGTTTATTCTTGTCACAATTAATATATTCTTATTTAATATATTATAATTAATTGATTAATTAAAATAAAAAATATTAATATATTCAAGATATAATATCTTAAATATTAGAATTATCTTACGTATAAGCTAATCTAATATATGCTCTAATTTTTAATATCTATCTATTTATATAAATTAAAGAATAAAGATCTTTTTATTCTTAATATGTAAGTTTATCTACAATTACTTATTAAATAATCATAATAGTCTATGATATATGTAAAAAAAAGTTAATATCATAATAGAATATCTCAAATATTTAAAGCATAAAATATCATCTTTTTTTCAGATTCAGATTCTTCATTACTTATCATTTACATAAAAATAATACTTATTATATATCACTTATATGAATTCCTTCTGTAATCTTTTATTACATAAGGTAATATATCTAAATAATTTACATAGAAAAATCAAGATATAATATTATATCAAGAAAGTTCACACAGAAGATTCAAGATATAAGTGAT